CCCCAAAACCCCAAAACCCCAAAACCCCTTGATTAAGAATTGAAATTAAATCTTAGAAAATAAATAAAATAATTCAAATGGACGGAGAATTAGACTTAGCAGATCAACAACCTCTTGATGATCAAGAATATGTTATTGAAGGTATTACTCATAATAAAATCATAAATTGCTTAGAGGTTGAGTTGACTGAGGATAGCAAAGGAGAATTCAGCTACAAGGAAGTGAGTGATATTAGTGATGTAACGGAAGAGTCATACCCTGAGGGATTATCTTAAATGAGAGCTGGAGCCAAAGATCTTGAAAATTACGAGAAATTGATGGAACAAACTAAATAAAGACTCAAAATTTTAGATGGTAATTAAGATCCTTACTTAATTCAATATTAGATGATCAAGCCTCTGTAACTAGTACTAGATTAGAGCATTCAGATGAGTTTTTAAGAAATTTCTTTATCAAGTTTGGCATGAAAAAGACACTAGAATCGTTTTAATAAGAGTGGTTTGAATTGAAAGCAAAAGGTCAACTAGACATTAGAAATATGCCTGTACTTCCAGAAGTATACAAAATTAATGCTGAGTTATCAGATGAATTATCAGCTCTTTAGCAAGAATTGGACGAAGCTAGAATTACTGCTGAAAAAGCAAGATCAACTTATGACAAACTAAGAAAGCAAAGAGACTTCCAAAAAATCAATCATAGAAGAGTGTAACAAGAGAAGTAAAAACTTAATAATGACATTGGTAAGCTAAAAAAAACCTATGAATAGTATCAAGAGACATTCAAGCAACTTTCAAATAATTACGAAACTGCAGTCAAAGAGAAAATGCTCATGAAGCTCGAGAAAGATAGACTGTTAGCTAAAACTGAAAATTTAGAAAACAATCTCAGATAAATAGATGAAAATAACGTTATTGAAAAAAAGGAAAAGGAAGATATGCAAAAAAGATTAGAAGCCCAAAAGAAAAAGGGTGACAATAACAAGAGTTAGGTAAAACCAAAGGGAAATCCTTCCGTTATACCTCCCAAAGACAAGCCTAACCCATTCATTGGCGAATAATACGAGCCAATCAACTCACATATGTCAATGATTAAAACTTTCAAGGGACATTTGATGGGAGTTACATGTCTTGCATATAATCCAAAGAAAGCAATAGTAGCGACAGGTAGTGATGACACAACTTGGAAACTTTGGACAGTCCCCAATGGTGATCTGATAATGAGTGGAGAGGGACATTTAGATTGGATTGGTGGATTGGCTTTCAGTCCAAGAGGAGATCTTTTAGCAACTTGCTCTGGTGATGGAAATGTCAAAATTTGGGACTTTGTTAACGCTTCTTGCGCTTATACTTTTACTGAGCATGGTCAACCAGTTTGGAAAGTTGATTTCCATGAGTCAGGAGATTTCTTGATTTCATGCTCTATGGATCATACTATCAAATTATGGGATTTAAATATGCCAAAAAGCAGATATACATTCAGAGGCCACGTAGACTCAGTTAACTCAATTTAATTTTAACCTTACTCCTGCATGTTTGTCAGTGGAGCTGGTGATAAAACAGTTTCTCTATGGGATATCAGAACTAATCTGTGCGTATAAACATTCTATGGACATAATAATGCAGTTAATTCAGTCTAGTTCAATTAGCGTGTAAGCATTACCATTATCTTATTTATATGTTAGGGAGACACTATTGCCTCGGCTGATTGTGATGGAATCACAAAGATATGGGATGTCAGAATGGTCAAGGAGCTTCAACAATTCGATAGTGGATTAGCATCAGCAAACAGAGCAGTATTTGATAAAAGTAACACATACGTCCTTGTTGCAAGCGAAGACGCTACTGTCAAAGTGTAATTTAAAAACATTCACACAATTTAGTTTTAACATGCAAACAAAAGAGAAGGAAGCAGAATTAAAGGGACACGAAGATGCAGTTTTAGATATGTGCTTCGACAATGGTAGAGAGGGTTTTCTAGTTACATCAAGTTCAGATTGCTCTTTTAGAGTTTGGCAATGATCATTATTATTTACACTTAACTTTATAATCACTATATAATTATAATTATCTTATTATTAGTCTATAATCATAATAAAAATGAGAGTTATACTATAAAGGCACGCTTTGAGCACAAACAATAAAGCTAAAAACTTTGGTGGTGATGATGCAAATTATAAGGAAATCAGAGAATCAGATCCTGATCTAGCGGAAGAAGGCTATTATGACACTATTGAACTAGCCCAGAAGTTTCAAAGTCTTGGAGTCAAAATAGATAAGATTTATACAAGTGCTTTTAAAAGAGCCTTATAATCTGCAATTACATTTAGAAAAGGATATTACAGTGGAAATGATGATAAGCAGGCTGAACTATCAATTAATCTCATGGTTAACCTCCATGAAAAGGGTGGATGCTAAGTAAAAGGTATAGGTAAACCAGGACTCTCTCTCACAGAAGCCTTAGAGGTGGTGCCAGATCTGTTGATTGACGAAAAAAATAAAGGTAAAATAGATGAGAATGGCTGGTATAAAGCTGAAGGCAAAGAAACTAGTGATCAGTGTATTGCAAGAGCAAAAGAAATGTTGAAGGAATTTAAAGATCTATATGAGTAGAACTAAGGTTAAAATATCCTCGCTATCTGCCACGGTGGATTTATGAATACTATTGCTTGTATGTTTACGAATAATCTTGCCAACGTTGATTCAATGCAATTGCAATGTGCAAATAACTCATTTGCAATCCTAGATTTTTTCATCAATAAAAATGAGCATTAAGGAGAGGGAAGAGAATTTGTTGATGTTAAGCTCACAGGATACAACTTATTCCTACATAGATGAGAATTGATAATTTATCTAATTAATATATGCATTGTTAGACAACACTATTTATCAAATTTCCTTAATTTCATTACTTTCATTAAGGGGTTTTGGGGTTTTGGGGTTTTGGGG